ATCGAATGGCAGAATTTGGGAGAGACTTGACCGTTATCTTGCAAATCAATGTTTTGTAGCTAAATTTGATGCTATTCACATTCAACATTTAAGTAAAACTCCTTCAGACCACTGCCCAATCCTATTAATGTGTGAGCTTAATACCGGAAATGGACCTAAACAATTCCGTTTTCAAAATATGTGGTTTTCTAACGAGGATTTCTTACCTTTTGTGGCAAAGAGGTGGAAGGAATATCCAACGGTGGGTGGAATGCGAGGACTTTGTGATAAGCTTAAGTCCCTTAAGGCTGATTTGAAGATCTGGAACCGGGAGGAGTTTGGGGACATTTTTAATTCCACCCAAAAACTGGAGGTTGAGGCTTTGGCAGCGGAAAAAGAATATGAAGAGAATCCTACTGACTCTAATAGGGCAGTCTGCCATAAAAAGCAGGCTGAGCTTCTTTTGAGGATTAAGCAACAAGACACCTTTTGGAGACAAAAATCAAACGTCAAGTGGATAAAACAGGGAGATGCTAGTACGAAGTTTTTCCATGAGACGGTGCGGGATAAAATTAGAAGGCAACATATTCAGGCAATCGAAAAAGCTAATGGGGAATGGTGCTATGATCCAAAAGAGATTGGTGCAGAGGCAGTTGATTATTTTTCAAACTTATATGCTAAGGGACAGGTTAAGGAGTTCGATAATGTGCTTCATTATATTCCTGAGATTATAGATGGGATGGATAATAACAGCTTATTAAAACTGCCACAAGAAGATGAAATTAAAGAGGCGGTGTGGGGACTCAATCAGGATGCAACACCGGGGCCTGACGGGTTTGGTGGAGGTTTTTATAGAGGATGCTGGGATATTATCAAGAGAGATGTAATTATGGCGGTACAAGAATTTTTTCTGGGGGTGAGTGTTCCTAAAGGAGTGGGAAGTGTTAATATGATATTGATACCCAAGAAAAAAAGCCCTACATCTTTTGGAGATTTTCGCCCTATCTGTCTATCTTCTTTCTTGAGTAAAATCAATACAAGAATTTTGGCATCCAGAATGGGGATTATTCTACCCAAAATTATCTCTAAAGGGCAATCAGGGTTCATGAAGAGTAGGGATATTAAAAACCAAGTTCTGGTGGCGCAAGAGTTGCTTCATAGCCTTGATAAAAAAGTTAGGGGCTCAAATTTGGTAATAAAGCTTGATATGGCTAAAGCATTCGACAGGGTTGACTGGGAGTTTTTGGATGCTATTATGAAAAAAATTGGCTTTGACTTTGGAGTTCGCAGGCTGATTTTGGGGAATCTAAATAGCACATTCATATCCATTTTAATTAATGGAGCACCTTATGGTTTTTTTAAGCCTTTTAGAGGGGTCAAACAGGGGGATCCCCTCTCTCCTTTACTTTTTATTATTGTTTCAGAAGCGTTTTCAAGAGGATTGAATTCACTGAGGATGCGGGGTGATATTGAGGGTTTTAACATGGGAAGAGGACTGCAGATTACTCACCTGGCATTTGCGGATGACCTGATGATCTTTATGAATGGTTCTTCTAAGCCTATCAAAAACTTCAACACATTTTTGCAATCATATCAAGATGCTTCTGGCCAATTGGTTAATAAAGATAAAAGCAGTTTTGTGGCTGGGAAACACACTACTCTGGGGAGAATTCTATATATTGAAAATGAGCTAGGAATGAAATCTACTAAGTTGCCACTTAAGTACCTAGGGGTTCAGCTCCACAAAGGTATTACTAGACTATCTCATTGTAAAGATCTGTTGGAAGCATTTGATAAAAAACTATCTACCTGGAAGATGAAGATGCTGTCACAAGGAGGAAGGCTAATTCTGATAAAACATGTTCTCAACGCTTTACCATTACATGTGATGGCAGTGACTGATCTACCGAGGTCTGTGGTGAACATGATAAATAGAAAGATTGCAAATTTCTTTTGGGGAATCAGAGATAACAAACCAAAATATCACTGGGCAAAGCTAAACAGGCTATGTAAACCTACTATGAGTGGTGGGCTGGGCATTAGATCCATAGCTGATACTCAAAAGATATCAGCCATGAAGTTATGGTGGGATTTCCAGAATAGTCAATCCATTTGGACAGACTTGATGCAGAGTAAATATGGGTCAAGACATCTGGGGGAAGTAAAGCCTACTGATTCTCCTGTATGGAGAAGGATCAGCCTCATTCATGAGGAGGCAGAAGGGATGGTTATCAGGGGTCCTAGTTCTATTACATGGATTCATACTTCAGAGGGGATTTTTACAACCAAATCTGCATATTTTGCACTTTGGCCACATGAGGGGAGGATTTTATCTAATACACAAATTTGGAACCCTAAACAGGTGCCCAAAATTAGGATTTTTATTTGGAGGTTATGGCATAAGTGTCTACCATTTCCAGAACAGCTAGCGACCTTCTCAGCTGCTTACCCTACCATTTGCCCTTTCTGTAAGAAAGACAGTGTTTCAGAAGACCATATTCTTCTCTTATGTCCACTAGCCAGATCAGTATGGAGTTTCTTCTCGACTACTCTGCTTCTAGGAGGTAGACCTGTCAATAGCATCAAAATGGAAATTATGAAGTGGTGGATTTCCAAAGCTGGAAATACAATGGATACAATTTACGCGATGGTTCTACCTGGGGTCATTGTATGGCACCTATGGAAGGAATATTGGGAAGCGATTTGGAACAGCTCAATCCCTACGGTGGACATGTTGCTCAAAAAGATTCAAAAATATATGTTAACATGGTGCTATGCTAATATGAACATTCGAGGAAATGAAAGATTGAAAAGTTTAGGTCTCATACCTTCATCTTTCAACAGGAGGAAACCGCAGATATTTAGGTGGTTGAAACCGCAGAATTCTCGACTCAAACTCAACTGGGCAATCTTTAGGGGTAACGGTAAATCCTCAGCTGGCTTTTTACTTCAAGACCATGAAGGAGCTATGGTGGCAGCAGAAGGCTTTCCGTTGAGCGGATCCACGAGGATGGAGGAAGAAACCTTGGCTAAGGCGGTGGAGTGGGGAAAGACGCTTCAGTTTCCTGATTTAGAAATTGAATCTTCCTTCTCGAAGACTCTTCAGGTGGACATCAACTTAATGGGCCGGCCTCACATTTGCTTCACCTTTATCCCGGGCCCAGCGAACCTAGCTGCGGTGATTGTGGCGAAAATGGGCCTACTTGAGCCCTTTTTTTGGAGATCGGGAGATAACGTACCCAAAGAATTAGCAGGAGCTTTAACATTGGATGCTTCATCGTTTCCTTATATTTATTTATAGATCTGCGTTCGTTTATTTTCTGCTCTTTGTGTGAGCTCTGTACCGTTAAGGGTAAGGTGTTATGTCCCCCCTTGTGTAATCGGTTTTATTTCTTCTATAATATCCGGTAAATGTTCCCCGGCATTTACCCCACTGATTTTGGTGGTTTGCCTACCGGGTTATAAAAAAAAATACTTTTTCCAAAATCACTTTAAAAGTAATTTTCTAAAGCAAAAATTGGCCTTTTTATTCCAATATTACTAAAATGAATGAAAAAGACAAATTTGTGACCTGTTTTAAATTTTTCCAAAAATATGACTAAAAGTCATATTCCTTGTATTTAATATACATTTTATATATTTGATTAGTAGTCCTATGACCGCCGACCGCAACACCATCGCCACCGCTGACACCACCCCACTGCTGGCGCCGGCGGTGGCACCACAGCCATTGCTGGCGCCACCGTTACTGACGGCGCCGCCAAAGTGACTCCGGCCAAAGTGACTTTGGTCAAAGTGACCCCGGTCAAAGTGACCCCACCAGCCACAGTGACTGCCCCACCGGCCATAGTGACTCCGGCCACAGTGACTTCCCGCACACCAGTCATAGTGATTGCCCGCCCACTTACCACAACGACTGCCCGTCCGCCGAGCACATTGACTGTCCGTCCAACTCCATCACCGTTGTCCACGCCGGAAACCACCACCTCCCACCGTCGCCTGCCGCCAATCCTGCCCTCTCCTACACCAACCCCAACTCAGCCCTCCCCTGCATCACCCAGTCGGCTCAACTGTGACAGTCGCCTAGCGGCACCGGCGACCACCACCTCCGCCACCGCCTGCGACCACCACCTACGGCCCCCCACATGTGACCACCACCTCCGACCACATGACCCCAGCCCCCACATCACCAGCCAGCATTCCCCACCCCCACAGTAGCCCCCACCCATAACAGCATCCCCCAACCCCCCACCAGCCCCTAACCACCCTCCCCCAGCCCTTGCACAACCGCATCACACCACATTCCACCCCTAGCCGTCACACTGTCGCACACCACTACTCCCACACAACCACTAGCCCATCCGCCACCGCTCGTCACCCTTAGCCTCAATCACCGCCACAAACGGTAACCCTAGCCGCCGCCATCAGCGACGTACAACCGTAGATCTATTGAGGATGGCGAATCCAGCAGCGACGACGGTCATCAAGGAAGTCTGAAGTAGCGACACAGTCCATCGATCTTCGTTGCTAGTCGATTTCAATTGCCCTGATGAAGGAGAAGATGTAGCGGCGGAGTAGGGAAATCAGCGGTGAACGAAGAAGAAGTTTGAAGATTCAAAGGTTGGAGTTGCGATGGTGTACGAAGGTATACACAGGAGAGGAGCTACGTAGGAGAGGAGCGAGGAAGATTCAAAAGAGACGAAGGATTGGTGGGCGTTGTTATAGGAGATTGAGAAGAGAAGTCATATTTTTGGGAAAAAGAAAAATAAGTCAAAATTAGTAATATTGAGGCTATTTTTTCGCAAAAATATTGAGCCCATTTTTTAGCAAAAATTGTTGAACTCTTCTTGTTGTACACACTTTGTACATTTGTCTGTGTACATAGACAATTCGGAGACAAATGGTGATTTTTTCTTAACGAACTGCCTATGAACACAAACAAAATAGGTGGTGTACAAAAGTGTGTACAAATACATTTTTTGAAAATTGTTAGCTTATTTACATGACTCACGCTATTTCCCCTTGGTTTCAGACCCACTTCTTTCTCGCTCAGCACGTTCATCAACAGTCAACATGGAATAAGAAGGGAAATGGAAAAGCTGCGCAGCCTTACACTACGACACTAGTCCGCCATGAACCGGGCGCTGAAGAATATTCTAAGACGCCTAGCTCAAAACGCAGGGAACGAGTAAAGCTCTAATGGTTTTCAAAGGCCGGTTTTTTTCTTCTAAGAAATCTGCCGATGTTTCCAGCCCAGATGGATCATCTAATAGCCCGCGATCTATCGGTTCGAATTCCCCGATCCGATCTGATAAGAAGCTGGGAAAATCAAGTTCCAATTCCAAGGACAACTCTCCTGTTACCCCGACTTCGATTTCGAGTTTAGCTGCTAGCTTCAAGGATAAGAAGAATGATGGTAAAGGTAAAGAGAGCATAGTTCATAGCTCGAACTCTCAGGGGAAGTCCGGATCGGGCGGAGAAACATTAGGCTCTCTTAAGTCGAAGAAATTGGTTACTGCGGAAGTCAAGGAAGTTGGTCCGCAGCAGAATGCGGTATCCGTGTCGCCGATTCTAGCATCGTCATTGGGTTTGAACAAGATTAAGACGCGATCTGGACCGTTGCCGCAGGAGAGCTTCTTCGGTTACGCGACTAGAGATAAGGTGAGTGCTTTGGGTGCTAGTAGCTTGTCCAAGCCTACTGCAAGTAGTGGTAGAGCTGATGCTGCATCAAGTTCGGCAAAGAAGAATGCTGGAAAGGAGGATGAGAAGATGTCATTGGAAAGTTCTGGTTGGGCGGAGAACAGGAGCATTTCAGAGCATATGCCAATGGAGAGTGCGCAATCCAGGAACAGAAGCCCTCAGGTCCTTGGTTCGTCTAGGGTGCAAAGCGGCGAATCTTCCTGTGAAGCAGGTATTTTTCTAATGCCGCCATTGCTATTAATTACACTTTCTCAAACTGCACCAGTGGTGAATTTGTGATTAATAAGCTCAAAGGGTGAAGCTAAAGGCACCCCACAACTTGCTAAATTAGGTGCATTCCATTGGAACTACTACATAGAGTCATAGTCTGAATGAAATGAAGACTGTTCAACAAACACTATAACACTAATCAAACGCTAGTTGTTGCTTTCAGCGAGTGCCCACTAAAACTCTTCAATTTGTTTGGTGGTTTATACGCAGATGACTTTTTGCTGCAGTGTCAGTTAAATGAGTATGTTCAAAATGAAGCAAAGTTTGCTTAGATGTTCAATAGTTTTGGTGCAAATAAGCGCTCCGCCAACAAAATGAATCAGAGTTTATGTAGTAAATGCATGGTTCTAAAAATCGGCCTAGTCGTTAGGCGGTGGCCGCCCTCCCAGATTTCTTTATAATCGACCGGAAAAATCAGTGGGGCGCCAAAGGGTGCTAGGCGGCTAGTAAGGCACCTACGCGGTCTAGGCGGTGGCTAGGCTGTCCAGTTTTTTTTTGCCGACCCAACTTATTCTTTCCATTTTGTCTTAAAACACCATTTGCTCAGTAATTATTCTATTCCTATATGATTTATTTTCATATTTCTACTATAAAAAACAATTTTTAAATATATATAAACTTTTTAGAATGTATACGATTTTTTAGAGACTAAAAACACAAATCTCTTAATTTATTTATTAATTATTTTATCATTGATAATTTTACTACAAAAAACACAACATTTAGTGATTACATGAGTTATATCTATTGTCAAAATATTATGAAATTATTAGTTATATATTTAAAATCCAAAGGAAATAAAAATAAAATAAAGAAATAAAGTGAAAATACCTAGGCGCCCTAGTCGCCACATAGGCACCCGCCTAGGTTGGCTAGGCGCTAGACGGCCAGTCACCGTCAACTAGCGCCTTTTAGAACACTGAGTAAATGTAATGTAGATTCTGTAAATGATTTGTTTTAAGTTAGGAGTTAGGACCGCATAGTGTTTGCTCCAAGGTAGCGTGATCCTCAATGTGTCTATATAAGGAAACTGCTATTTGTTCCCATCATACTTTGTACCCAATAATTACTAGTACCTGGTGGAAATTTGTGTTAAATGGTTATAGGTCTGAGAGAAAGTCTCTCATACTCATATGGAGAGAGATATCTTCATAATTAGTCAAGATAGTCCTCACAGAAGATCTAAAGATCATTTGTTACATTAGAAAAAGTTTCAGATTAGAGTGCTTGTGATAAACCGCTCTTTGAATAAATTTGATATTAGGAGACTGAAACCATTGAAGAGTTCCTTAAACTAGTAGCACATCATTGTGGGTTTTGGTTCCTATTATTGAGACATATGGCACATGTGCTTATCACAGATAATACTACATAACCGCGTATCGTAATCCATATTATTTGTCTTACAATGGTTTCATCTTTGGTTTGATTAGTAAAAATGTAGGTACTAAGTAGTACCCTTGTAACTTTAGTTACATATTTTCTTCTACTTGTGAACTTAAAATATAATTTCAAGTTCCTTCACAAAAAAGATGTTGAAAAATGATTTAGGTAATATAAGGATTAGCTCAGTTCCTGAACTTTACAACTCATAACGCAATTACACCCTTTTAACCTTTCACAACAAAATATCATTTCATACTATATATATATTCTTTAAAAAGTTGTTTTGTGGAGAGGAGTTGTTAATTTCCATTAGCATTGGAGCGGGGGAAAATGTTATCAGAACTTTATTCATACATACTGTCAAGAGTCACAAAGTCTAGGGGATGACTTAACTGCAATATTAGAAGACTGACTTTCCTTTGTTATTTTTGGAAGTCTACGGACTTAAGCGTTAAGTGTGACATTTTATAGTTTAGATTTCAGAGTTGTATGGGGGTTTGAAAACAACTAAGACCGATGGAGTCTACCTGTCTTTAAGCCTTGGGCTTGGCATTAAGCTGGAAAGCTTGCCAAGTTATGTTTCAAGCACAGTTCAATTGGTTCAATTGTGATCACATTGTTATGAATTTTATTATATAAATACTATTTTAAAGATCCTAAGAATGTATGAATAAATGTGTTGTACTTCATATATCAATAGTTAAAAGATGAGTCCTATTAAGCATGCATTAATTGAACTCCTTTTAAAGACTTGGTAGAAAAGTTCTATACAGTATTGGGGTGTGAGGAAGTTTTAACTTGGACTGAAGTTTGCTGGTCTGGTCTGTTTAAGTTTGGACTGGTCTGGTCTGGTAAATGTCTGGTCTCTGTGTATTTTATAACTACGAAAGTTTGGTCTGGTCTGTTTAAGTTTGGTCTGGTCTGTTGAAGTCTGGTCTGACCTGGGATTGAAAACAGTACAAGTAAAAACATCTAGAGTGTGATTCCATGGATTAGATTGAAATGGGATAGTTTTCCTTAAGCGTGATCATAATGTAGTCAACCCAATCAAGCTAGCTTTATGTGTTAAAATCCAGGAGTTTTTATAATTTTTCTTGGGAAAAAGGGGCAAATAAGCCCACGTACTAACCAAAAAAGGTCAAATAAGTCCTTATAAGGGAAATTTTTTTATTCAATTTTTTGAGCATATTATTCATTATGTCTAGTTTACTCATACCAAATTTTAGCTAAAACTTCAACCGGGAAGGCATTCAAATGAATTCTTGAAGATAACTGCGCAGTTAAAAGCGCAGTTATCTTCAAGAATTTATTTGAATGTCTTCCCAATTGAATTTTTAGCTGAAATATGGTATGAGTAAATTAGACTTAATGAATAAGATTCTAAAAAAATCATCAAAAAATTCCACCGGGAACTGACCCAAATGGCGACGGCCGGACAGAGCCTCCTATATAAGGGCTTATTTGACCTTTATTGGTTAGTACGTGTGCCTATTTGCCCTTTTTTCCTTTTTCTTGGAATACATGTGATTTAAATCCAAATGAATTAGCCTGTCAAGCGTCAACTCATCACCTTTGAGATTAGCCGAAGGAATAACTATACCGGGTTTCTTTTTTTAAAACATACCCTATTTTAAACAGATCGTGCAAAACGGAAGACATTTTATCTTTCGAAATATACACATTGTCACAAGTGACAAGTCACAACTTGTCTGGTCGTGCCAAAGACTCGCTATTTTTTGGCTTGAGAATTTGATGGAATAAAGCAAAATGGCTCACTAAACTGTTTGCGCTTCTTTGTTATGAAGTAACGGTTAGTCCATGCACTTTTCGACATGTTTTTCATCGTGGGTCACCCAAAAACAGTTTTTTGTGCTTTAGTACAGGGGTAAGGCTGCGTACATCCAACCCCCTTACCCCATCGTAGGTGGGAGCCTAAGCGGCACCGGAGTAATGTTGTTGTTGTGTTGCTGTCACAACTTGTCTGATTTTTGTGCACGTGAGATTTAGGTTATAGTTCCATGCGTATTGATTAAGTCTTTTTATTAATTATTAAGAACTACTGCCTCCATTCCAATTCCGTTCCAAAATAATTGTCTAACTTTCTTTTTTGGGTTGTTCCAAATTAATTGTCACATTTCCTTTTATGGATTTCCATCATTTGCAATGGAGCCAAAGACTCACTATTTTTTGGCTTGAGAATATGATGGAATAAAGCAAAATGGCTCACTAATTGAAACAGCAGTTAGTTCATGCAATTTTCGACGTGATTTTCACTATGAGTCATCCGGAAGCAGTTAGTACATGGGTAAGACTGCTACATCCGACCCCCTCTTATACCTTACCGTAGGTGGGAGCCTTTGCGGCACTGTGGTAATGATGATGATGATGATTTCCTTTTATGGAAAAGAATCTACCCCAAGAGTAGCTACCATACTCTTTATTAAAGTGCAAGTGTATAGTACTGCTAAAGTAAAAAAAAAAACTACTTTTTGCAAAGTGTAGAGTACACCTACAAACACCATCTTAAACTACTTGAAAAGCCTATTGTGGCAGTTGTTTAGGAACGGAGGGAGTACTTGTTTTTAATTAACATATAAAAAGGGCAACATGATGCACACCGGCGTCCCCGCAAGGCGAGGTTCTGGCCTTCCGGGAAAGAGTCTGTTAGAACTCCACACGAATAACAATCACAGACTAAGGGAAAACAATTCACAGGAAACAGTAAACCTCCATTAATGACGGAAAACAGAGTACAAAGTCCCAAAGAAGGAGATACTACTCCAACTTTCCAGTACCAGACAATAGCGTCTAAACAGCCTACTCTTTATTGCCCACTCCCCTTCTATTTATACGACTCTATCTATTACATTTCTTATTTACTCTTATTCTATCGGTTCCCTAACATATCTCCCCCCCTAAACATCCACCTTGCCCTCAAGGTGGGCGATAGGAAGTAGCCAAGATCTTCTGCTTCCTCTTCATCCTTGCGCCTCTCCCTTCCCAATACTTGACTGGTTGATGGACTAGGGACTTTCGTACGACATCTTTTAAGATCTCAGAACTTTCAATAGCAGAAGAAATCAGCAGTGAATATTCATTCAATTCAGTCTCTTTCCCGCACTTGATAGTAAAAAATATTTCTTCACTTTTCTGCAGCTCCTCATGTTTTCCAGTCTCTGAAACTAATACTGTATTGGATGCAAACTCCTTTACGTACCTTTCAACTTCTTCCTCTCTTAATTCTTTACTTACCTCATTTGACAAGGAAAACCTCAAAGGTTTTAGCAAGCAAGTAATGAGATGCATAATTCCAGCAGCAGTTCTCATAACTAAAGAACATGAAAGCTCTTCTCCCATGTAAAAGTTCCAAAATTGGTTTTCTTGCACGTAGACAGATCTATCACCAGTAAACGACATGGCCATTTTCCAACCCTGTTCTAATTTCACTTTTTCATTTGCTTCATTATGTTGTTCCTCAAAATTTTCCACTGTTTTCTCATTTAAAGAATCTGAAATTCTGAGTGCTCTTGTTAAAAAGCCAACCCACAAATTGGTAGAGGAATCAAGGGTACTTGGATCCCTTCCCTTCAGATTCACAAGAACAAAGGAAACAACTGGGGAATAGTATTGATGATCCCTTGAATTATAATGGTTAGAAAGTCCCTCTTCAATTTTGGGTTTCAAAATTGCTTGAAACATAGTAGATTGCTGGGTATACCGTGCTGTTTCAGCCTCATTATCCTCAATAACAAGCCTTCCAGTCCAATCCTTATCTCTTTTCCTGAGTATTTTGTGTCTTGGACCAGTATTTGCCATATGATACCTGTAATCAAAACCTACAGTTCTATCTTGAACAGGTATATAATCTACTGGTAGTTCCATAACCACTTCACCTCCTATAATGGCCTCAGGAACAAGACCAGGATTGAGATCTTTAACAAACATCAGATATATGACAACTCCATTACCAGACACATATCCCTCATCTTCTGTAATATTCCCAGAAAACTTTCCTTCCAATCCATTTTGCTTATCTATCCTAGAAATAACACACTCACATTTGAAACCATCAAACTTGTTCAATGACTTCAGCCCTTCCAAAGTAATGTTAAATGCATGACAGTCCATCATTACAAATTTTAAAGCATTAAGCCAGTTCCTCTCCTGTACAAACCCAAAAGTCATTGTGCACTTTCCCACACGAATATCACTATCATATACCTGCAGAATCTCAACTTCACTATTCCCTGAAACTGTTGGTGCCACTTGCTTCAATTCAGTATGAATTTCCAGAATTATAGTCCCTTTTAATCCTTTTCCTAATGCGGCTATGATCGTAAATTCTGAAACGGATAATTCATGTTGGCATGTTGACACTAGCACCCTGGGAGATATGGCATGCAATGATCTCTGCGAATGAAGAGACAAGTCTGGCGCAGGGTAAGAATCTACTTGTGATAACAATAGAAGATGCTCGGTTAGCAATGGCGAACAGAGAGAAACAATTCGCGACTGCGAACTAGGGATTTCTACTCGAGTCGAAGCCAGAGGTCCAGAATGAGTATCGTGCGACTGAGACGGGCCTTTGCTTTTCGAATTTACGCAGCGACGTACCTTCCTCGATCGTCCTCACCGGTTATGTTGTTTGCTCTTCGCACGTTTCTCCTTCTCCAGGCTTGAGTGTTTCTCTTTCTCCAGGTTTGAGCGATTTTCTTTCTCCTGTTTTAAGCTCTTCTCCTTCTCCACTTTTCCGCTCTCAACCTTTTCTGCGAGCTTCACCATTTTTTCGCGCGAAATCTTTCGGGACTGCGAACTAAGAGAAACAATTCGTGACTCCGATTGCGGACTAGCGAGCGACTGCGACGAACCATGTTTGTCAGATCGCTGAAGATGCCTGGTATTCTTCGAACGATGTTGATCTCTGGCATCCAATCTGGCAAGAATCGTTGCTAACATCTCCATATTTTGTTGATGAATCTTCTTCAAGCTATCCATCCTTGCGCGCGTCGGTACCATCCACATTGATCGAAGTCTCTGATACCACTGTTAGAACTCCACACGAATAACAATCACAGAATAAGGGAAAACAATTCACAGGAAACAGTAAACCTCCATTAATGACGGAAAACAGAGTACAAAGTCCCAAAGAAGGAGATACTACTCCAACTTTCCAGTACCAGACAATAGCGTCTAAACAGCCTACTCTTTATTGCCCACTCCCCTTCTATTTATACGACTCTATCTATTACATTTCTTATTTACTCTTATTCTATCGGTTCCCTAACAGAGTCCCACCAAAAGGGTGTATAAGGGGCAAGCTTTCCCTTTTCATTTTGAAAAGAGGCCGCTTCCAAGACTTGAACCCGTGACCTGTCACCCTCTCGGTCACACGGCAACACTGTAACCAGTGTGCCAAGGCTCCCCTTCTTTTTTAATTAATAACTTATAAACTTGAAAAATAGTGAAGGCTACAATGCTCTTCTGGCCTTTGGGTTCTAACTTATAAGCTTCCATACACTATGTTCGTGATGGGAGCACATAGAATTTATTATTTTTTCACTTGCCTAGTTGCCTGTGAGGCTGTGAGCCATCGCAAAATCTAAATTGCCACTTGAACCTGCCTACTCTTTCTTCTCAGGAGAAGAACAAATAATTACAGAATATTATCTCCATCTGGAAATGCATTAAGAGATTGAACTATGGTTACTTCATTGGTATATAATTGGGTAGAGAGGAGTAGATTGAACTCATATGCTTATTGAGGATACAAATGGTAGAATGTTGTTTTTGTAAATTGGTAGTGAAAGTATATTTCATTCAACTGAAAGAATGGTATATATACGAAAAAATTCCACTTTTGGTCCCGTGACTATTATACCACTTCCACATTTAGTCCCTTACTTTCAGATTGTCCACATTTAGTCCATGACCATTATCCCCTCACCACCCCTCGTCCTTCCGGCCAAAACTCAGGCAAATTTAATGCAGATTTTAGGTATGAAAAACCAAATTTAATGCAAAGACTGATATGAAAAACCCAACCTTATATAAAATTTAATGCAAAGACTGATTCTGAGGCTGATAAGTGGACTACATTTGCCAGAATTTTGGCCCGAAGGATGAGGGGTGGTGAGGGGATAATGGTCACGGACTAAATATGGACAATCTGAAAGTAAGGGACTAAATGTGGAAGTAGTATAATAGTCATGGGACCGAAAGTGGAATTTTTTCGTATATATACGGTCTCTGCTGTATAGTTGCAGAGAACGTGCATTGTATGTTGGGATTCAGTTGAGTTCCTTAACCCCCCAGGTTGGGTTTTTTGAGACCCAAAACTCCCAGGACTTCCTTTGGTAATTCTGTGCTTGTATTATTTCTTAGCCAAACTGCAAAGTACAATACAATACTAGAACTACAGAATACCTAAATTAGTGGAGTTCTATACTAATACAGTAACACCACCATTAAACCACTGATAATATACTACTAATATATTCTTCAAAGGTATATAAACTAAATCTAATCTATTTTTAAACTATTTATAATCAATCTGCTGCATTCCCTAATTAGTTTTCAACCTTTACTGCCTACCTCTTAACTGTCACTAGAATATGCAGACTCATGGTCATCCATATGCAAGAAAATAAAGTTTATCAGGACACTTGAAGTGACTTGTATCTTTTGGTGTACTTTGACAGTTCTGCTCAAACTTTTAAAAGCAGATGGACTGATAAATTGTTTCAATATTTATATTGCATTGAATGTTTTAGCAGCTCAGATTAATCCATCTCGGGGCAATTCAGGAGTGTTGAGGAACATGGATGCTTGTACTCCGGATTTGAAGGTAAAAGACATCCTAGTGATAAACAAAACTATCGTTTTATTCTCTTGACATTTTGAGTGAAATATTCACTCTATTATATTTGGTCTTATAGACATCGTATGATTGTGATAACCCAAAGGAGTCTGAATCTCCACGCTTTCAAGCTATACTTCGTTTGACTAGCGCACCCAGGAAAAGGTTTCCAACAGATATCAAAAGTTTTTCTCATGAGTTGAATTCTAAAGGTGTACGCCCTTTTCCATTTTGGAAGCCTCGAGGTTTAAACAACTTGGAGGTAAGTAAATTCTCGTATGATAATGAACACTGTGAATGTTCAATATCCTAGCTTCAGTAACTAATCAAATCTGAATATCTACAGGAGGTTTTAACAATGATAAGGACGAAGTTTGCCAAAGCAAAGGAGGAAGTTGACTCTGATCTTCATATCTTCGCGGCAGATCTCGTTGGAGTTTTAGAAAAGAATGCAGAAACTCATCCTGAATGGCAAGAAACGATTGAAGACTTGCTGATTTTAGCCCGAAGATGTGCAATGACATCATCTGGGGAATTTTGGCTTCAATGTGAAGGAATTGTTCAAGACTTAGATGATAGGCGTCAGGAGCTTCCGGCGGGTACTTTGAAGCAGCTGCATACTCGAATGCTTTTTATACTCACACGGTGTACACGATTGCTTCAGTTCCACAAGGAAAGTTTTGCTGAGGATGAACCTATATTGCAGCTTCGCCAGTCATTTCAACCTCCCAAAAAGCACGTTTCTGGAGGCATAGGATTGGATCAGACGATATCCACTGGCGCGAAAGTTCCAAAGACACCTGCTACAACAACAAGAAAATCATATAGTCAGGAACAGCATGGTTTGAATTGGAAGACAGATCAGGTCCTACACCCAGAGGGTTTTAAGTTATCACCAGCTGAAACTGTTAAGAATCCAGATTCTTGCAATGGTAGGGACCGGATGGCTTCTTGGAAGAAATTACCGTCTCCTGTGGCAAAAGTTCCCAGAGAATCTACTCCAGTGAAAGAGCAAAGTGATATTCTAGAGGATTCGAAGTTGCTAATCAACAAGAGAGGAACTTCAGATTCAGATCTCGCCACTGTTAAGCATCAAGAGCCCCCCTCTAGCAGAGATTCTTATGGACACTCCTCAGGGTCTTCCAAACACCAGCACAAAGTTTCATGGGGTTACTGGGCAGACCAACCAAGTCTCTCTGATGAAAGCTCAATAATCTGTCGTATTTGTGAGGAGGAGGTCCCTACTTTGCATGTGGAAGAGCACTCTAGAATTTGTGCAATTGCAAATCGTTGTGATCAAAAGGGTCTTAGTGTCAATGAGCGTTTGATTAGCATTGCCTATACACTTGAGAAGCTAATGGAGACATTTTCGCAGAAGGATTTCCAACCAACTGCTGGAAGTCCAGATGGTGCAAAAGCATCAAACTTAATTGCAACTGAAGAATCTGATCTATTATCTCCATATCTCAGTGACTGGTCTCGCAGAGGCTCCGAGGATATGCTCGACTGCTTACCTGAAGTGGATACTTCTGCTTACGTGGATGAGCTTAAGACTATACCATCTATATCATGTAAAACTCGTTTCGGCCCCAAGTCCGATCAAGGAATGACAACATCTTCTGCTGGTAGCATGACCCCTAGGTCTCCTTTGCTCACACCACGAACTAGTCAAATGGACTTGACATTGCTCGGGAAAGGTTGTTACCCTGAACATGAAGATCTCTCTCAGGTAGGTTGGACATTAGTACTCCCTCCCTCCCAAAATTATCCCTAAAGCGAGACCGGTTTTTGCAAAATCGTTTCAGAAGTAGGAGAGAAATAATTAGGATGAGTAAGTTCAAATTAAGAAAGTAGATACGGAATACTATCTACTACCTCCGTCCCGCTATGATTGTCCCGTTTTACCTTATCGGTCCGTCCCACTAAGATTGTGCTTTACCAAATTTGGTAAAGTTTGTGTGGCTCTAAATCATTCTTACTTTATTCTTACTTTATCAATTCAATATCAACCACATAAACCACTTTTTATTAATTTGCGTGTCACTCCCTCTTGTCCCATTGTTAGCGGGACGGAGGGAGTATTATTTTGGGATAGGCCAAAAAGGAAAGTAAAAAACAAAGAAAATGGGACAGATGCATTGGTGTTTTTTCTCCTTTTTTTTAGTTACAGACTGAAAATAGAGGCGAAATAAACTGTAAAATGTTTAAACCATTTAAAATTAATGAAGTCATCCCCTTTTCTGCCCTATCATCTAAACCTCAGAGATTATTTGCTTTGAAATTCTTAAGTCACAGTGTGATGCACTAATGTGTGTAAGCTTGAAGTGATAGCCTTCCACTCTATGCTACTCGTATGGATTCTTTGCTTTAAGTCCTTAAGGAGTCTGATAGTTTGATGTTCTTTTACTCCCTTTCTCTAAATAAACCATACACTTTCCTTTTTGGTCCGTCAAAAGTATCTCTCATGTTCTTTAAAGACCATTATTTGGTCACATAATTTCTCTTTCCCCTAAATAAATTCCAACCACACTGTTTTTTATTATCTTTAACCCCTGTGCCTGGTCAAATTGGCCTGGTCAAATTGGGGATTTACTTAGGGGTGGAGGAAATATTTATTACAATGTGAGATTTACAACAGTACTTTGATATCCTTGTTATGCTTCTTTGGTCATTTTTATAAATTTATGCAGCTTACATAGAAAATTTAATTTTACTAAAAATCTTGTGAATATTGTAGATGAATGAACTTGCTGATATTGCTAGATGTGTAGCAAATACACCTATGGAGGATGACCAATCATTGTCTTACTTAATCACTTGCCTTGAAGATTTGAAAGTAGTGATTGATCGGAGAAAGCTGGACGCACTTACCGTAGAGACATTTGGAAACCGAATAGAAAAGCTGATTCGGTTAGTTAAATTTCATTTCTTCATGCATCGTGGCCTCCTGAGTTTAGCACCACACAAGAAAGTCATTTTTGAATCTTTTTTGTGCCATTGCGAGTTGCCAATAGATATTTTTTCAAGTTTGATTATTATTCTTATATAGGGAGAAGTATTTACAACTATGTGAGCTGGTTGATGATGATAACAATGATATAACAAGCACTGTCATTGATGAAGATGCACCCTTTGAAGATGATGTTGTACGTAGCTTGAGAACCAGTCCCATTCATTCCAACAAAGACCGTACATCTATAGATGACTTTGAAATTATCAAGCCAATTAGTCGCGGTGCATTCGGCCGGGTGTTTTTGGCAAAAAAGAGAACCACCGGGGATCTCTTTGCTATTAAGGTACTATAGAATTCATTTAAGCTGCTTATTCTGATGATCCTTTTCCTGATCACATGTATAATTGATAACTTTGAGAGATGCTATCTTGTTGTCACCGGGCATTTTGGAGTTTGAAATATCTCCTAAGCATATGAATTCCTTGTCATGTCGACGAGTTACTGTTCTTCAGCCATAGCAAGTGATGAATAAATTCGCTCTGCTTTTTCAAGTAAATCTGCTGCAGTTTTTTCTCAAGTTTCCGTAGTACTCTAAATTTCAATATAGTACCGACTAATGTAATCTATGAAATATGAACGGATGACTTGTATTTTAAAGTTTGCTGGTTTAATGTTCAAATTAAGTGTTTAAACTATGAAAAATAAAAACTAGAACTCTGAAAACAAGTTGTGTATTAATATTTAGACCTTTTTTACATTCAGTTATGTAGCAAAGGTCATAAATATTTTGCAATAACACTTTCATTAGTAGTAACTTATAACTTAATTGTATTAATAGGTATATATTTCCAAAAGTAAGATGCACACAGACATTTTATAAATATGGGCCTACTAATTGTTTATTTATGTGCCCCTCATACTTTTGTATCACGGTTCTTTAAATGAAATGTACATCATTTTCCGTTTCACGATTCCCTGCAATTTAGGGCATCATCTATCATTTCATTCTCCTTTACCTTACTATGTTTGCCTATAGATGTGTATACATGGATTTCCTTGTTACTTTTTACTTCCCCACTATTGTTTATATAGCTAATGGGGTCTTACTTGGTTTTAAAGTACATGCTTTACTATTCCATAATTATTTTGTTATGGGACTTCATTTCACTATCTATACCTCTAAAAGGCTGTACGAAATGCGAAATATCACACAAATTTGTGGTATGAGGGTGGGAATATTTAGATGACCTCCCCATGCATTTTTGCAAGGAGGTTGATCGGGACATGGAACCTCCAAGACACATGGAGTGATTCCATTGCATCAGACCCGCACCCTTCATGATACCTATACTTCATGATATGGATAGGCAAATCTGCAATGGTTTAAAAGCTCTAGAAGCTAGAGATGGGGCAGATTGGGCCTAGCGCCTATGCAGGATTTTTAAGATTATATCAATGGAAAGTTACTAATCCTAAGTGATTAAGTGGAGTGAAAAATGAGCTAAGCCTAATGTGATATGAGTGTATCTACTTTGGAAGCTTTAGTTAGTTTGAGCTCAATTCACAAAACATTTCTCTGGTTAGTAGATCGTATGAAATATTTTGGTTTCAGAATCCCAGATGCGAGTGGAATTTGTCATTTTCTGCCATTTTGGCTTCTCCGTATTGTTATTGGCAATTAGATGGCTGAGTTCTGTCTATCCATTGACAATTCTCTTTTAGCTATACTTACCAGATTATTATACAGGTTCTTAAGAAGGCTGATATGATACGGAAGAATGCAGTTGAAAGTATTTTAGCAGAACGCGACATTTTAATATCAGTTCGAAATCCATTTGTGGTGAGAAACATCAAGATGAAGTACTATACTTTTACTGTAGTAAAGTAATGATCATTTAATGATGATCTAACTTCAATCATATTTCTTCCATTCTAGGTTCGCTTCTTCTATTCATTTACTTGCCGTGAAAATTTGTATCTTGTGATGGAGTACCTGAATGGTGGGGATCTATATTCACTATTGAGAAGCCTAGGGTGCTTGAATGAAGATGTAGCTCGTGTATATATAGCTGAAGTGGTAAGTACAATACCAAAGTACTTTAGTAGTCTATATCTAATTCTCTCTCATATGCACACTCAGAAGCATGCACAACCATTCCTTTTAGCTACAACACCTTTAAAAATACAATAATCTAGATATTGCAATTTTGATGCTTCCAGGTACTCGCTTTGGAATACTTGCACTCTTTGCGTGTTGTTCATCGTGATTTGAAGCCGGACAATTTGTTGATTGCACATGATGGCCACATCAAGGTAGCATTTAAATCTTTAGTGCTTTGATTTTTCTGCATTTGGACACCATTACTATTTGGGGCATTTTATGTTTAATCTTCCTCTTCACGGCGTGCTAGCCCCCCCCCCCCCCCCCCCCCCTACTGCCAGCGTTTTGCTTGTTCTCGTTTAATTTTTGGAGTGCAGCGGCAAGAAGTTGTGCAGTGGCTTCATGTTTTATGTGATTTCCATTTTTCTAGTTTGCTGTATAGCCGCGATAGTCAGTGATTGCAGGCAGTTGAACAACATTAGAAGAGATGCGTGCTGCTTTGCAAATGGAGGAGGCTGCAGGTAGCCTGGATGTGGGTGGCGGCGGTGATCAACATGGAATACCACTGATGCATGGTCACATGGTGGCGGTGTTCATGGTTACGGACAGTCCAGCCAAGTTTTCGGGACATGGTTACACTGTGGTGGAGTGGGTAGTTATGGACAGACTGATCAAGTTTCAGTGTTTTCGGGATACGATTGTGGGCTTGTGGCAATGCAGCAGCGAGAGGGGCTGCCATGCAGAGCTTGTGCATAACCTATTTGTGTCCCAACTTTTTCACGAGGCAGACTTTTAATTGGATTATGGTGAACATCCTGTTGAGTATGAACATAACCTTATCATTTTACAATGTCTAAGAGACGGAGTGATGAGGGAGAGTTGGAGAGATAGATCTAGGATTTTATTTTTAACACTTTATTTTAGTCCAATATTTAAGTGTAAATTAAAAGATACCCAATTCTTCAATGTAAAAAACATGTGCCGTGTCCCAAAGGGTCCCTGCATTGTTCTCATGCTAAAACTTAAAAAGAGGACGCATTTTAGGCTTCACTCGTATGACCATATGTGTTCCATTGATTGCAACACTTTTTGAAATAAGTGTCCGTGCTTCATCGTATTATCCATTCTATGGATTTATTCTTGAAACAAATATAATAGATACAGTTTTTTATGCATAGCCGAATTAATGATTTATCAGGACTGTTCTTACTCTTACAAGTTAACTGGTTTGAGTTTTGCTAGTTGACAGATTTTGGCCTTTCAAAAGTTGGTCTCATTAATAGCACTGATGATCTATCTGGTCCAGCCGTTAGTGGAACATCCGTGATGGATGAAGATGAATCTCAGATACCTTCATCTGAGCATCAGCAAGAAAGGCGTAAAAAGCGTTCTGCTGTAGGCACTCCAGATTATCTGGCTCCTGAGATCCTTCTAGGAACAGGACATGGTGTGCATTTCACTTTATTAGTATCAACTCCCAACAAAGGATTTTGAAATAACTATATTGTGACCATAGAAGTTTGTATTTCATGTCTTAATTATCGTTTTTTCTATCAAAATTTAGTATTTATGGTTGTGGTGGAATAGACCATTTGTTTTTTTGTTTCTGCTATCAATCTGGGTTTGAATTCCCCATACTATTTGTTCCGTTTCAGGGTTCACAGCTGATTGGTGGTCTGTGGGTGTTATTCTTTTTGAGTTGATCGTTGGCATTCCACCTTTCAATGCAGAGCATCCTCAGGTAAGTATTACTTTTTATTCTCATGTTTCTGTTTCTTTCTATACACTGTAACTACTCTGTCATCTCCAGTCTTTTCCTTAGAGCCATACTGTAGGTTCTTGAAAATGTGTCATTTTTTTGTGCTGAATACAGTGGCATGAGTTTCTAAATAATACCCTTTATTATACAAATTTTCCTTTTGATCTGAATTTATTTCTAATTGTGCACTGTTGCAATCTTCCTGAATATTTTCTGTGCCAATTTCTTTTCATAGAAAATATTTGATAACATTCTTAATCGGAAGATACCTTGGCCTCTGGTTCCTGAAGAAATGAGCGCTGAAGCACAGGACTTGATTGATCGGTACTTAGTTTTCATTTGTTTTCATTTCATTCATTTCAACACACACACACACATTATTTGAGGAAGCGGTCCAGCTCAGCTGGTCGCTGACTCACTCCCCCTTATGGGAGGTCCTGGGTTCAATACTCAATGGAGTGAGTTTGATCCCAGTTTACCCCAGGCCCCCCAGGCCCCGACCCCCGGGGTAAAAAATATACATTATTTGTTAAGGAGTGCAATTTTTCTTTTAAAATACACACCAAGAACTTGCAGATTATTAATTAGAAGTTTCTGGTTTAGGTACCTGGTTACCTGGAGCAAATTTGCTTCATTTGAGCATGACTTTCTATTTTTAAACAATATGCCTCATGAACTTAACAATCTTGCTTTTGGAAGTAAAAATGTAGGTGAAAATGGTTAAAATCTTTTTAACTAGAAACCATGAAACTTGACATTTATGCATTATCACGTTTGAAACATGTACGTGATGTGTGATAGTTGCTTTTTAATACGGAGTAGCATTATTTCCTGATCATCGACACCCTTGGTCTGCTGCTTCCTTTTATTATCTTAATATGGATATAGGTGTATCTTTTAGGAGCATTTCTTTGCTTAGGATTTACGCTCCAGCTAGATGTGCAGGTATGTTTCATTTACTAACTTATAACTCTAACTCTGCCATTATTTTCATGCAGCTTATTGACAGAAGATCCTAACCAAAGGCTTGGAGCTAAAGGGGCAACTGAGGTGATAGCTTCTTTAATCAATTATATTGTTGTTGAGTTAGTATTTGTTCCCTTTGTAGTTAATACACAGTAGTCATGGGGTATTTTGGAGGAGAATAACCATTTTCTCCCTTATAGGTCAAGCAACATCCTTTTTTCATGAATATTAACTGGGACACCCTAGCAAGACAAAAGGTACGTCTTCCATTTGTTTCCATCTCTTTCCATTTTGGTTACTTTTATAGTTTTACCTCAAATTTAGTCCTGAAAATAGTTATCTTTATATTTATTTTTATCAGGCTGCATTTGTACCCACCTCGGAGAGTGCCTTGGATACCAGTTATTTCACTAGTCGCTTCTCTTGGAATCCTTCAGATGAGCGTGTGTTAGCAACCAGTGACATTGAGTATTCAAGTGATAATGGTAGCACAAGTGGTAGCAGTAGTTGCCTAAGTCGTCATGATGAACTGGTAGGTTGGCCTTGTAATGTGGTTAAATTGTATGCTCTATTTAATGCTCCATCATTTTGTACCATGTTTTTGTTCTTACTCTCTTTGAAGGACAAACAAGGCGAAGAATGTGGGGGCCTTGCAGAGTTTGACTCGGGTTCTCCTGTCAGATATTCTTTTAGTAACTTCTCATTCAAGGTAAATCCTTTATCATTGTGAAGTTCATCATCTCATATTGGCGGTTCTACAATCTACATAATACATATACTCCGTACATTAAGTTGATTTCTTGCACAATCCAGGCAATGTAAAGAGGAGCCTCGTCTCTTATTCACTCTCTATATTTCATCTCTTTGAAATCTAAAAGAATCATTCAACCGTGGATACTTACGTAGAATCCCTGTTGATTTTTGTGTTGTGTCCTTAATCTATTTAAACTGTTAATATAACTTTTGAGATCATGTAAAAAAATTCCTTAGCACTTAACTTATTCTAGCATCTACGTAACCATATTCTAATTTTATATTGCATCTCCACCAGAATCTCTCCCAGCTTGCATCAATCAATTATGATTTGCTTACTAAAGGTTTAAAGGATGACCAGACGACAAGTCCAAACCCATAATCATGGAATCCTCATCCATAGTCCATTTTTTGGGGATTTTGGGCCAACAGCTTGACACAAAATATGGGATCAATCTTATCCCTCTCCTGAGGCCATGTACATGTATGGACTTCTGTTGTTCATAGTTCTTCAGTTTCTGGTACTGGAACTTTTCCCTTGAAAAGAGATGCATCAAATCATCTTATTCTCTTACCTCTTGCAGATATAGATGGATGGAGCAACAATACATGGGGTGTGCTTAGTTCCTGAGCTGAACTCCATGGAGTTACATTAAAAAAATATTATGGCAGAGTTGTTTTGTTTGAGTTGAGGTCTGTTGTAATCTTTGTCTCATGGTATGATTCTTGAGGAGGGCATAATGCCCTTTTCACTTCAGCAATTTGTTTTTTAAAAGCAATGTGAACATGTCCCCTATCAAAGGTATTTGGTTTCTGTGGTGTTTCCTCTCCAGCCGTAAAGATGGGCAGTGGTGGCAAATTGGCAATGGAGGGCTCTGGTTTTCCATCAGTTTCCGAGGTGAAAATGAGGAGGTATGCCAATGAAGTTGCTGGATGTGGCAACATGTATCCCTGTTATTATCACTCAAAAAGATTGATTAATGGAGGAAGTTTTGTGCATAGGGATGTTGTCTGAGCTACAAGTAAATAAGTGAATGCTTCATGTTTGTTACTTCGGTATAAATATTGATACAACATGATTGCATGGTAATTTGCAGTTTTGCACCATCTGTGTATTGCGTGTCACCTCATGTCCTCATGTGCAATAAAAATGCGCCAATTACATTTGAATTTAGATTTGTTCCGGAAGGTTTCTTTGCGGGTACAGTTTGATTTTTGGTCCTGCCAGTTAGGGATGGACCCGGGCCGGTCCGGTTCCGGGCTGGGCCCGGGTGGGCTTTTTTAGAAACATGGGCCTGGAACCGGCCCGGGGTAATACCGGGTCCGGTCCGGGTCGGGCCTACCCGGCCGGGTAGTGGGCCGGTTCGGGCTGGGCTCGGGCTATTAAAATTTTTGGTTTAAATATTATATTAAGATTACTTGGACATAAAAAAGTTAAAATATATTTATTTGAAATATGTAGTACAATTGAAAATTGAGCAAAAATTAAAACATGAAATACACTTTTTAATAAATAAGAATCAATTGGAATTTCCGCCATCTTCGGTTGTTTCTTCCATAAAGTAGCGGGTGGGTTCAATGCTAATTTCTTGAGTTCTACGTTTGGCCTTCAACCAATCGTGGAAGCAAAAAAGCATCTCAAGAGAGTTTGCGCTCAATCTCGTTCTATAATCCATTAGAATGTTGTCGGCTGCACTAAACTCTTGTTCCACGGCAACTGTTGATACCGGGTCACCGGCATTGCTAGCACTTGTTTAACCATCTTTGATAAGATTGTGAACGTTCTCTCTTTTTCCTTCCACCTATTGTTGGACTCGGGTCGGGCCACCTGGCCCGTGGACCGGCACGGCCCGCTACTTTGCGGGACCGGCCCGGTTCTCGGGTCCGGGTCTGGGTCGGGCCTAGGCCCGGGGGGTAGGGCGGGTCCAGGCTCGGGTCTCAAATTTGGTGAACCGGCTCGGCCGGGTCGGGCCCGGGCCTAGGCCCGACCCGGACCCGGCCCGGACCCGAGTCCACCCCTACTTCCACCATTGAAGAACGTCAAAGTCATCCCCTTCTTCATACTCAACAGGACATGTTAGATACAAAGAAAGCTTGTTGATCGAGTTTTGTTCATTAACCGGAGTTGATGAACTTTTTTTCATAAGATTGTCAAACACAGATTTCAAAATTTATTTCCATATTGATGAAGAAGATGTTCGTGGCGGAGGAGGGGGTGCATTACTATATTGTGCATGAAACTCATTAAATAATTGATATAATAAATTACTAACCTTTTGGAATTGTTGTTTAGGGTCTATGGTCTTCTCGTCGTACATAGGCAATGGACAAAAAAAGAAGCATAACAGTAATCTAAACATTGCTTCAAACTCCAAAGAAGCAAGTCTAAAATGAGGATCAAGAATAAATGCAATACTATATATATGCAGAATATAGGAATAGTATTTTAAAAACTTTTGTTTCATGAAGTCACAAAAATAACTAACGTAAGGGGCATTGGCAAATTCAGAAAAAGCGCCGACGAGATTAACAGTTTCAACAAAAAATTGGTTTGTGGTAGGTTTATAAATATGTCTAAAAGTTTGTTAAAATACACCAAAACATTCACAACTTTTTTACAAGTGTCGATGTCGACCATGTTTATAATATAGTTAGCATATTCTTTTAAAAAAGCAGAAAAATGGCTTTCAAATCTAATAAGTACCTTAATTAAGTTATAAGTGTTATTCCAACGAATAGACAAATCTTTAGGAAAAACACAATATTTGACACGTCTTTCATTCAAATAATTTCTCCATTGCATCTTAAGTTGATTACTAGCCCAAATAAGTTTAATCCCCCTTCACCACCTCCATAGCATCTCCCAACGCCGCTAGCCCGTCCTTTACACATAAATTTAAAATATGACACGCACAACGCTGATGAAAAAACCTACCCATCAAAGAAGATAAACCACACAATTCACGCAATCTAGGAATAGCAGCAGTATTATTAGTAGCATTATCAAAACCAATAGCAAACACCTTATTAATCAAATTATACTCAATTAAAATACGCTCAATGAGAATATAAATATTATCACCGGTGTGTTGATCATTAAATTCACGAAAAGCAAGAACACGTTTATGCATACACCAATCATCATCAATATAATGTGCAATCAAACCCAAATAATATAAATGATGATGAGTATCCTCCCATATATCACTACATATACTAACACGTCCATCAAAGTTTGCGAAGAATGTTTGTAATTTTTGCTTTTCCAAAACATATTGCCTTATAACTTCTTTTTTAATTGTTATGCGACTATAGTTTCGAAATTGAGGATTTAAAGTACCTTGAGCATATTTTTTTAAAGCAAGACTTTCAGAAAAAATAAAAGACAAATTTTTCTTCAACAATTAAATGAGACATACCAGTCAAATGTCTTTGATCATCATAGGAGAAATTACCAAAGGGTTGGTCAGTTGCAAACCTTGAAATTTGTGTTTGCTTTCCCTTGCCTTTATCTGATTTTGCATATTCCGCCAGGTGCTTGGCCTTAAGATGCCTTGTGGCGCTCCCGTACCCTCCAGAAATTCTCAAGTTATACTTTTTGTTGCAATGCTTGCAAGTGGCGTACCATATCTTGGTTTCGAGGTCTTTAACTTTTGTAAAATTGGCCTTAAAGACTGGTTCAGATTTCTCACCGGCTTGGGAAGAAGTAGCCACTTATGCTTGCTCTTCCTCATCGTCCGGTGTGCCATGAACCTCGTCCTCGACCGTTTGCGGATCCCTCTCCTCCGCATCAGCATCCTCGAGCTCTTCTTCATCAATGATTTGTGGGATGTCTTGTTGATGAAAAGAATCTCCTTGATTTTGTTACAATAGTTGTTCTAGTTGCTCATCGGACATCACATCCCCATATCTTTGGTTGTAATCCGCATCAAAATCATCTCAGGTTTGAGATGAAGACCCGACCCCTCCCTTACCTTTGCGTGACCTTGGATGATTCCTCGCAATCTCCTTTGTTCGGTTGCGGTGGAGGTTACCCATATCTACAGAAGCTCTAGCACGTTCCATCTTAAAAATATAAGAAATATTAAATTCGAAGTACAATTAAACTAGTGAATTTGAAATACAAATCTAGCAATTCGAAATACAATTAAATTCGAACTATGCAACTACAATGTACTCCGTAATAAACTTAACTACAATTAAATAATAATGCAATGTAAAAATTCGAACTATTTGTTTTAAAATGTAACAACTTTATTTAATAAGTTTAACAATTAACTAGTTTTATAGGAGAATAATAAATGTAACAATTAACTACTATGATAGGAGATTAACAAGTTTAACAATTAACTAGTTTTATAGGAGAATAATAAATGTAACAATTAACTAGTTTTATAGGAGAATAAGAAATGTAACAATTAACTAGTTTTATAGGAGAATAATAAATGTAACAATTATATACTATGATAGGAGATTAATAAATGTAACAATTAACTAGTTTTATAGGAGAATAATAAATGTAACAATTATTTAGTTTTATAGAAGAATAAGAAATGTAACAATTAACTAGTTTTATAGGAGAATAATAAATGTAACAATTAACTACTATGATAGGAGATTAATAAATGTAACAATTAACTAGTTTTATAGGAGAATAATAAATGTAACAATTAACTAGTTTTATAGGAGAATTAAGAAATGTAACAATTAACTGGTTTTATAGGAGAACAATAAATGTAACAATTAACTACTATGATAGGAGATTAATAAATGTAACAATTAACTAGTTTAACAATTAAACAATTAATTTCAAATTAAGTAGTTTAACAATTAAACAAACAATTATTGTATAACAATTTTTAATGTAACTATTTCCAATAAACTAACAACTAACAATTAACTACTTTTATAGCAATGAACTAATACTAAAATGATAAGTGAAACAATTAACTAGTTTTATATTAATAAAGAATGTATGAGTGTGTAAACTAAATTAATGGGAGTGTGAGGGTGTATAAGCAATTGGATAAGTAGATAATAAGTGTATAAGTAGATATACTTAATATATATATATATATATATATATATATATATATATATATATATATATATATATATATATATATATATATATATATATATATATATATATATATTTATAAGTAGATAATAAGTAAATTAACTAGTAATATATAATATTATGTTTATAGTATATATAATACTCCCTTCGGTTCTCAAAGATCTTTACACTTTCCATTTTTAGGAGTACCAAAAAGATCTTTACACTTCCTTATTTGCCTTATTTGGCAAATAAATCTACACAAAACAGTGCCACACAGTGCCAAACAGTGTCAAACAGTGCCAAACAGTGCCAAACATTGTTTATTTCCTTAAAAATTGTGAAGTCAAAGTGTCAAGATATTTTGGAACCGGAGGGAGTATAAGTATATTACTATAAGATGAGTAATACACTTATATATAATACTTTAATATATATAAGTATATATTAAGTATATGTAATATGTAAATATAAGTAAATAAATTAGAGATAATTATATATGTAATATGTAATATGTAAATATAAGTAAATAAATATAAGTAACAATAATATAATAATTAGATATTAATATAAGTAGATAATAAGTAGATAATAAATTTTATAAATATAATATATGTAGTTATAAATTTGAGAAGGTGAAGATGGAGAAGATTAGTAGAGAATAGAGATTAGAAAGTAGGGATATTTGGAGAAGATGTGTAGTAAATTGTATACAAAAAATGGAGTATTTATAGATTTTTTGTACCCCACCCCACCCCCAACCCACCCTGGGACCCCCTGGCAAGCTCCCAACGGCTATAGAGCCGTTTGGGTTGAAATACAACGGCTATAAGGCCTGTTTGGCTGCCAAAGATTTTTAAAAAAAAATTAGAGCCGTTGGCCCGTTAGGCCTGGACCCGAACCGACCGGGTCGGGCCCCTTTTTCCATGAACCGTGCCCGAACCGCCCTACCCACCCGGTCCGGGTCAAAGCCCGAACCGACCATAACTTACCCGAGACGGGTCGGGCCCGCACAGTAGCGGGCCAGGCCGGTTCCGGGCCGGGCCTGTTTGGTCCATCCCTACTGCCCGTGTTCCATACCAGATTTTGAAGTAAAAATCAGGGTGGGTCATGGGTGGGAGGGGACT